CCCAGGAGTTGGAGGTTGCTGTGAGCCATGATGCCACGGCATTCTACCCAGGGCGACAGCTTGAGGCTCTGTCTCAAAAATAAATAAATAAATAAATGAATAAATAAATAAATGTGTTAGAATGGTATAAAAATGCTAGAGGACCTTGAGAAAAGAGGCAGAAGGAAGTGAAGATATACAAAATTAAAAACAAAACAAAACTTTGTCTTACCTTTTATGGAAGAATAAAGAAAGAACTCTTAGGATTCTGAGTTTATTATAGTATTGTAGTTTGGTAACATTATGGGTTAAATAAACATTGGTGGGTTTCCCTGTGAACCTAACCACTATATACGAACATTACTTATATAAAAAATGCCCTGTCTTATAATTCTATAATTTAAAGACTGCGTATAAGCTGATACTATATACTAAAATCTAAACTTCGAAAGTATAATGATTGTACTAATGGATTATAGAAATATTTATCCTATGATACTTTAAATTGGGAATTTAATATTCTAAAAATGAATTTGTACAAATCATTTGTGAGACACCATTATAATACAAGTGGTATAGAACTATAGAACCAATATGTAGTTATAATATAGTTGATAGTAACACAAAAACAAAGCTGGTATCTACAGGTGTAAGTAGACAAGGGTGGAGGAAAGGATTACATAGAAATCTATACTGTTAACTGAAGCAGCTAGAAATAGCTTTATTGATCATTATAATAGTAATCCAAATAATTATACAAATTTTAATAATTTTAAAGTAACCGTTTTACCTAATCTGTTGATTACATAAATATTAAATACTATAATCACTTGTAGAGAACATACAGTGTAAAAACACTGAAAGTAACCCTAGAATACTTTAAAATAATGCCATATTCATTTTAAAATATGTAAGTCACATTATCAATCTACTATAGATAACAGGTTATTTATTTAACCCGTAAGAAAACATTCTGTTCTCTAAAAACAAAACAAAGCAATGCTTTCGTTAATCTAAAACTAAAGGTTGGCTTTCCATTTCTTGTCAGGATCTGTGTTGCTAACTGTGGAAAGAAAATCAGAGAGTAAAAATTAAACAACAGATAAGTAAATACACTGAATTTTAAGTTATCTTGTGCCTAGAGAAAGCGTTCATTCTTAAAATAATTGTGTTGTTCAATATAGAGTTGGTTTTTTTTTGTATACTTAAAAAGTGAGGCTTCTAAATGAAATTTAAGCTTTGAGACTCTTGATTTTAAGGATTAAACTTCTGTAAAAACTATTAATTTGACAAATTAATGCCAGTAAATAATTACAAAATTACTGCTTTAATATTTTCTGAGTTTACTACCTTTACTACTGCTCAAAAGCTTTTCCGCTTTCAAATGTATCACATATAAAATTTTTTTGTGGTTTTGGGGGTCTAAGAGATAAAGGTACCTTCCCACTACACTCGCCTTTGACTGTCCTTCTGGTTGGTAAAGACTGGATCCCTGAGAGAGATTCTAAGTCCTGTGGGAACTTACAATTTACAGTCAGCTAGCTTTGTGCGACTGACCTTCCCAGTCTCTCTAACTTAAAGAGATATTTAAGGGAGCACTATGATGAGTGATGTTTTTCCTGAAAGGAAACTGGTGCATCTGTGAAAATATTCTAAATGCTGGCAATAAAAGAATTAAAAGTTGAAAGTATACTCACATATTTTTCCTTCTTTTTCTAGCTTTTTCAAATGAAGTAAGAGATTATGTTTAGCCACTTTATGTAAATGTTCGGGAGTATCCTAAAAGAAACATGATGAAAGAAAAACATTTTTAAAATTTGAAACAAACAAACAAACCCCACAATCTTTTTGAAACCTTTAAAGAAAAACAAAATGTAATAAAAGAAGTTCAACTTAAACACATTTTAAATAGTAATAACCTAAACAATTTCCCTTTGCACAAGTTTTGCTTTAGGTCACTGTATTTCTATACCTATTGCCTACAGATAAAATAGACTTGTATGTGTCATAAAGACAGTAGCAGTGTCTGTTTGTTCACTACTGAATACCCAGTGTTTAGCATAACAGTACATGGTAGAAACTCATTAATATTGATTTTTAAAAATATTTTCTCCAATTCTGTGAGTTGTCTATTTGTTCTTTTGATTGTGTGTTTGGCTGTGCAGAAGAAACTCATTATTATTTTATGAATCAGTGAATGTAAAAATCATTTTTAGTTTTGAGGACAATACAGTTGGCCCTGTACTGGTTTCCTGATTAAGTTATAAGACAGTATCTTTGCACATTTTTATAAAAGTATGTGTGCCTTTTAACTCATACATTATTTTTCCTTTACTTTCGCTATAACAGCAATGTA